GGGGAGCTGCAGGCAGGTGGGTGGAACTCCCAGAGTTCAACCCAGGGTGAACTTGGAAAGGGAATTCTGCAGCCCTCCACCCCTGCACCCTTCCCTCCTCCCTCGCACAGTGTGGCACGTGTCTGAACAACTTGGGTGCAAATGTAGGGGGCTTACAAGGGAAGGCTTCCTCCTGCAGCGAGGCCTGAACTCTGAAGGGCAGCGTGGCCCTGTTTCCTAGGTGAGAGGCTGAAGGCAAAGGAGGAAGGGACTCTATCTTGTCCCCTAAGACAGCAAAGACCTCCCAGTGTCAGTCTGTAAGTGGCCACTCTGTGTCGGTGGAGGGAGTGAAGTCCTTGTCACAGTGGACCATAGAGGCCAGTGTCTGTGGGGTGTTACATAATGTATTATGGTCCCAAAACTAGGTGCATCCACGACGGGTCCTTATTATGCTGCCTGTGTGTGTGCATGTGTGCCTCATGTGTGTGTGTGTCTGTGTCTGTGTGTCTTGGAGGTTGTTCCACATGGTCACACATAGATTTGTCCCTTTTTGTTCTGCATGGGATAAGTGGAACATAATCTATCCAGTTCTCTCTGGTTGGCCATCCAGTTTGTTTTTAAATTCTTACTAATAAATTTTTGCTAGCTTTATAGAAATGGCAATTTCATATAATTAAGCCTAATATAAATGATACTGCAGCAAATGTTTTGTTTGACAAACACATGCCAAATGCCAGATACCATTCTCAATGGCTTATAATTAGTCATCTATCTAATCCTTAGCAAAACCCTTTGAGGTATTTCATCACCAGCTCCACTTCGAAGATGAAGAAACTGAGGCTCAGAAGAGTTAACTACCTTGCCCTGAGTCACACAGCCGACAAGTGGAAGAGCTGGGACTTGAGCCCTGGAAGGGTTCACAAGGCTGAGGATGTAAGTGTGTGCTTCACTGTCCCTCAACCTTGGCCACTGTCTTCAGGCTCACATGCTATGATGCAGAGGATACTTTCTTGGAGGTGGCCTTGCAGGTTAAGAAGGAGCATTGAAATCCTGCTGTTTTCCAAGAGACCAAGAGCTGGTCAGGGAGTGTCCTGCTCTCAGGCTGAGGGAACATGACCCTCACTGACCACCCCCACTCCCATCCTCTGCCAAGCAGGCAGCTGCAGCTGGCCAGAACCCAGAGGCCAGAGCCCACACTGGGCCCTTTGTCTTTGGTGGGAACCCTGCGGCCCCCATGGCCCCTCTCAAGGGCCCACTGTCCCAGCACCAGCAGGGCCTCCATGGGGCCAGGCCCGGCTGAGAAACTTGGCATGTTGGAGGTTCCTTCGCCTCCCTGCCAACTGGGCATGCAGAGCCCACTCAGGAATTAGCCTCCTCAAATTGGACTCGCAAGACTGAGGTCCATGCCCAGGGAGTACAGAAGTTCAGCTGGGACTGGGGCCCTGGGCCCCTGCTTAACACTACACACACACACCCCCATAGCCCAGGCTAGCTCCAGGGTCCTTGGGCACTCCACCCCTCCCCTCTCTGGGAGCCCCTGCTGCAGAAGAAAGGAAGGGTGGGAGGGAGGGAAGAAAAGGGAGAAGGGAAAGGAAGGGAAGGAGGAGAAGGAAGGAAAGGAGAAAGGAAAGGAGGGGGAGGAAGGGAAGGGGAAAAATGGGAAGAAGGAAGGAAGGGAGGGAAGGAGAGAGAGGGGCAGAGGCTTGTTCCCTCTTTGGTGATCTGGTTCTCCCAGTCCCACCTGATGGCCCTGTGCTGAGTGGGTGTCCCATACTCCTCTGCAGTGGTCCCTCCACCCAGGAGTCTGCAGTCCAGCCCAGGGCAGCAAGTGAACACCCTGCCAAGGGAGCCAAGGATGAGCCAGAGCCTGCTCTGAGGGCTCAAAACCAACTCCGGTGGTTCTTGGGGTGAGAACTGAGACATTCCCGCCTGGCTCTGAACTCTTCAGGACTCCGCTGAGGGCAGCTCAGCCCATCTGAGTGTTTGGAGAAAAGGTTGTGAACAGACCAGGGCTTAGGCAGCTCCCTGAGACAGAAGTACTATTGGGAAAGAAGGCTCCAAATTCTTTTTGTCTGAAGGGGAAAACCTGGCACTACCTGCCCCTTCCTGGGTGAGGGAACTGTGGAGACTTGATTCACAGGGTCATTTTCCAGGGAAAGATGGAGCTAACCTAGCAGAAGAGTCCCTGCCACCTGGTCCTTGTGCCCTTGGTGGGCCTTTCCTCACCCCCCTCCCCCTCCCACTTCTCTACCATTCCTTTAAGCAGAAAGCCTCATAGAAACCCTCCAGGCTCGGGGAGCCTCCCTGGTGCATGGCATGGAGAAATAGCTCTCCCTCAATGGTGAAGCTTTTGCAGGTGGGGTGAGTCCTGAGGGCAGGGCTACTGTCCCCAATGTCAACTGACACTTTTCTACTTGGGTCAGACCACTGGACCATGAGGTCTGGGCCAGCTGGGTGCAGCAAACAGATGACAGGCTTCAAGACTCAGTCCAATTCCCCTCCAAAGTCTGCTGTGTGAAGGAACCTGGACTGGAAGAATTTTCAAGAGGGGGCCAGGCATCCCCACCCCTTTGCTTCTCCTGCTCCCCGGGGCGTCCTGGGGGCCTGGGCTGGGCAGAGTGGGATGAGAGTGGGCTCTGTTCTCCGTTTGCTCATTTGTGCGCCTGAAGCCCAGCGTCTGGCCCGGGACAGGACTGGGCTTTTTGCAGTGAGTCAGGATCTGGGCTGGGCACTAACTGTCCGGGCGTTAACTCATTTGTCATCACAGGGACCAGGACACGGGCCCGATTAGTCCTATTTTGCAGATGAGAAATTCCGGGTCCCTTGCCCACGGTGCAGGACAATTTGGCCTTGGCTGCTATGACTTCCCCCTGGGGATGACAGGGACAGCTCCGCAGATAGCGCTAGGTGGCTCCAGTGGGTGTCGCCCCAGGAGGTCCGCAGGCGGTACCGCTCGGTGGGGCCGGGCCCGGGTCGGAGCGTGGGAGGGGCGGGGCGTGCAGCGCAGCCCGGCCGGCCGCCGAGGGCGGTGCGAACAAGCGACCCTTTCTGCGCCCGCTGCCCGGCCCGGCAGCTGGACGGAGCCCTGCGGGGGCGCGGACGATCCCGGCCTGGGCCGGGCGGGGCGACCGTTGCCACGGTGACCCGGCGCGGGGCGGGGGGGTTGGGGAGGGGGGAAGGCGGCCGGCCCGGCGCGGGCGGCGGCGGCGGCACCATGAGCGGCCGGAAGCGCAGCTTCACCTTCGGCGCCTATGGAGGGTAGGTGCGGGCGGGGTGCGGGCGGGGTGCGGGCTGGCTGAGCGCGGGGTGCGCACAGGGTGAGCGCGTGCGCAGTCGTGCGCTGCGTGCCGGGATTAGGGTGGTTCCGCCCGGTATGTGTGTGTGTGTGCGCGCGCGCGTGTGTGTGCGTGTGTGCACGCGGGATTAGCGTTGCGGGGGTGGGAAGCGGGGGCATTGGGTTGGCAAGTCTGGGTGTGTTTGTGCGTGTGCGCCTGTGGGCTCCGGTTAGGTGGCCACGTGCAAGGATGGGGACGTGAGTGTAGGGCCGTGTCTGAGAGCATGACTACTTGTGTGTACACGCGTGTGTGAGTGCATGGATAGATGCGAGCAGGAAGTCGAGGGACGCCCTGCTTGGTCCCCTACTTTGTCTCTGCAGCCACGGGCCCCTCCACTGAGGCTTTGGAAGAGGGGCAGCTGGAAGCCATCAGTAGCCCCCTCCCGTCTGGCACCGGGGCCAGAACCTCTCATCTCAAATTTGGGCCTGGGAAGCTCAGGGGGTGACCAAAGTGGTAGCTGGCCCATCTTGGGGTGACTGTCCCTCCTGACTCCAAGCGCCCACCTCCAAGGTGTGCAGAGGTGGGATGGGAGACTCTTGCCAGAGGCAAAGATTCTGCCAATTGGGAGGAGGATGGGTTACACAGACTGGACCCAGAGTCCCCTCTAGGCCAGCCAAGGAGCTGCTTGACTTTCACCAGTCTCCTGGGGTCAGAGGACACCCAGGTCCCCTTTGGGGAGTTGGAGCTACATGAGGCTGCTGGTGCTCCTTGAGCAGCGGGAGTGTTTCCAAGGTGTTCCGCTCTCTGCACTCAACCTCTGAGGGGGTCCCTGCAGAAGGGTGGGGTGAGGTGGGGGACACAGAGGCTGCCCTCCCTATGGGGCCTTGCTAGCTGTCAGGTGAAGGAGGATCCTGGATTGGGCTGAGCTTCCTGACCAGCTGACACCCAGGGGTGTCCTGGCCTCACTTTCCTGCCTGCAGAGCCAACTTCCGCCCTAGCTGACCCCTGGGAGCCCCAGCACTGCCTCCCCAGAAGTCACCCCCACCCCTCAGCTGGCAGAGTCTAGTTCTTGGCTCCCTCTCCATTCCCCGCTTGCCTCAGGCAGAGGGCAAGAGCTATTTGTTGTCCCAACATACCCCCAGCCCCATGGCCCCCCACTGGGCAGGAAAGTGGAGCCCTTGCCTTCCCTTACCCCAAGGTGTCCCCAGAGAAGAGTGCAGGGGAGAGCCTGGAAGGGGCACCTCTCACCCACTCTCCTGAAACCTGGACCGACCTACAGGGAACTCTTGGGGGCCCCAGATATGTGAGTTGGAGGTAGACGAAGGGAGGAAGCCCTCCATGGACCTCCTCCCATCCCAGGCATTGTCCCTGGGTGGATGCAAGCCAGCTCCAGGGCTGGGCCTGAGAGCTATGGGGCTTGTGGGGAGCAAAGCGGTCTTCCTGCCCTGCCAACCTCCAAGCCTGTCTGGAGTGTTCTGGGCTAGCCCAGCCATGCCTCCGCATTCTTGTTCTGACCCCACACTGCTGAAGTCACACTGTCCTTCCTCACCTCACCCAGTATTATTGACCCCAACTGTGCTGACCCAGCCCCTGCACCATGGCCCCCAATCCTGCCTCTTCCTTACTCTGTAGCCCCTGTACCTTCCCATGCCCCCAGCTCAATGTCCTGCAGCCCCAGGACACAGGGAGGGTACCTGGCACTCTTGGAGCACACCCTCACTGGCTGCCCTGCTTGCTGTGTTTCAGGGTGGACAAGTCCTTCTCTAGCCAGAGTGTGTGGTGAGTACTGGGCCCCTCAGGAGGGTCTGGGCTGCCCTGGCTGATCCCTGGGGCACCCCAATACTCTCTTACCCCCTATAATGCCAGGCTGGACCCACCAACCCCCCACCATCCTTCTTGGAAAGGGGATGGGAAACCCTTTCCTGAGTACCCCTCTGCTGTCCCCCACAATTCTTTCTGGAGCTTAGCCTCGGAGTCAAACAAATCAGGTTCAGGTTTTAGCTCTGCCATTGCCTGTGTGATCTCAATGTTGCACTAGCCTCTCTGAACCTTGGTTTTCTCATCTGTTGAATGGGGATCTGGTGCCTGTTTAATGGAGTGTAAGGCTGTAAAACTCAAGCAAACTAATTTGGCAAGTAATAGGCACTCACTTGAAAGGTCCTCTTCCTTTTTATGTTCTCTAATCCTTCCCATACCACAGTGGTTCCCAGCTGTGCTGGGGGTGCCCTGCCTTTCCACTGACACCCAAAACCTCTCGTCCCATCTGTACAAAGCTCTCAGATGCCCTCCTGCCTCCCATTTCCGGTGACTGAGGACACCCTCTTTTTGGAGAGAGGCAAGAGGTGGTGGGCAGAGGTACAGCCTCACCTTGTGATTCATCTCAGCACCCAGTGCCCCACAGGTGGGCACCCCCTGGCTTTCCTGGCACTGGCATCATGTTGCCCAGCTGGCTGTTCCTGCGCCCACTTCCCTTCCAGCTGGAGAGACCCCCACAGCTCTGCTCCTGCTTCCTGCCCCTGCTGAGGACTGCCTGGAGTCTGCATTCCCCTCCTAACTGGCACCATTGCCCCCCGGAGCTCTGGGGCAGGAGGCTCATGGGGTGCCCAGGCTGAGCTCCGGGGCGGCCTTTTCATTTCCCTTTTACTCTGTGTGACCTGAGCCCAGTTACTCTCCCTTTCTGGGCTTTATCTCCCTGTCAATTTAAGTCTCTCCTACGTGCAAAACAGTGTGCTATCCTCAGAGTCAGGGGGAAGGATGGGGGAGGTACAGACAGAGGTGAGGAAGAGGCTGCCTTTCCTGCTGCATTCTGTTAGGTGCCTGACATGAATATTCTCGTGTTATCTTTAGCACAGCTCTCAGCTGTGGACTGTTTCCTCTAATCAGTATGAGAACATGAAGCACAGAGAGGGGAAGTGACTTGCCAAAGTTAACACAGCAGGAGAACTGATCTTTTAGGCTCTGTGCAGAGCTCAGAATCTCATTCATTCTGTCCCAAGGCCTCCAGGGTGTGGGAGTTTCTGAGTGGGGCTTCTGAGTGAGGGATTCACTTGAGGGAAGACTTGGAAATGTAGGGGTGACCCAGAAGGTCCACTCTAGGGACCCCTGAACCAAGAGTTAGAGACAAGGGCCCAGGATTGATGGTAACTGACTGTGGGAAAAGTCAGTGTGACTTTGGGGAAGACCGTTCCCCTCTATGGCCTCGGTTGACATCCTGGACTCCCCAGGATGCCTTCTGCAGCACCCTCCTTGCCAGAACTGCTGTCCAAGGTGCTAATCTTGGGCTTTCTCAACCCCTGGAAACCAACTGCTCACTGCAACCTATACATGGTGTCTACTCAGTGCTCAGTACTTAGTTATCAGTGGCAATTTTTTTTCAGTATTGGGATTTGAACTCTGGGTCTACACCTTGAGCCACTCTACCAGCTCTTTTTTGTGATGTGTTTTTTCAAGATAGGGCCTTGCAAACTATTTGCCCGAGGCTGACTTTGAACCATAACCCTCCTAATCTCTGCCTCCTGAGTTGCTAGGATTCCAGGCCTAAGCCACTGGTGTCTGGCTATCAGTGGCCACTTTGACTGTTCATGTTGGTCTCCATTCAAGGCCAGTCCCTGCCCCTGTCCAGCAGGGGCTCACTTTCCCAGTGGCTGCATCTCTGGCCCACAGGAGTACGGCCATGGTCAGCAGCCCCACTGTGCTTTTGCTTACATGGCCCCTCCCCTGGACCTCCCTCCACTCCCATCCTGCAGGCCTCATGCCACCCCCAGCCACCAACATCGCCACCTGCCTTGGGTTTTCTTTACTGATGCCACATCACATCCCTGCTCCCTCAGCACCTCTCTCCTGTTTATCACACACCTGTGGTCATTCCTGGGCAAGAACAAAAGAGCCTGGGCCCAGGAGTCTGATGAATGTGGGTGGAATCAGCCTCTAGCACATTCTAGTTGTGGGACCTTGGGTAGGTCATCCCCTCCCTGCCCCCCACCCCAGTCTTACTTGATGGCATTTGCTGAGCTGGACATTTCAGTGAGGTGACACTGGTGGAAGTGGCATTGTTGTGCATGAGCCCTGAAGCATGAGGCAGGCTCTGAGCTCTGGGAAGCAGGCTTGCTTAACTTCCTTTCTTGCTGGTTCTCGTAATGAGCAGCAGGAGCGCTGGACCAGCCAGGCTGTCCTCTACAAATGACTTTGTTCCCCACATGGTCACAGAGCTACCCATGCCCAGCCAGGGCCTCATGAGTGTTTGTGGAATTGTGTCGTCTGTGCCCAGAGAGTGAAACGCATGCAACGTTTGTCAGTAGGCTGGGAGGGCCTACTCCCCTTTAAAAAAGGATTAAGTTCGTAGGAACACCGAGGCCTGGTTGAAGCAGATGTGATGGGGTTGACACCTCCACCCTTACCCCTCAGGGGCAGGTGGCCCTCAGAGGAGCTCAGAGTAGGTGAGCAGAGATGAGGGGAAAGAGGCCCAGAGGGAGGGCTAGGGGCTGGTGAGTGACCCACAAGTCCTAGAATGGGGGCTGGGCATTTCCAGTGGGTTCAGATGGGAGAAGGTGGTGGTGGTGGAGTGGCTGGGTGGATTTGCACAGGGGGGAGGGTTCTGGGAATCCTTCTTGCATTCACTTGTTCACTTTGGCCTTAAAACCGGGACCCTGGGAGGAGGAGACAGAACCAGCAAGACTGAGACGCCAACAATGTGCCGGCCACTTTGCCGTGGTGGCCTCACTCAGTCATGACACTAGTCCTGCAAAGCTGTAGTGTCCCCATTTTAGAGACCACAATCAAAACTGAAGATGGTAAAAGTTCTGGCCCAAAACCACACTACTGGCTGAATTTGAACCCAGCTGTATCTTGTCAAGGAGGGGACCTTGATCAGAGTTGGAAGCCACAGAACTGGGGCAGTCCTGGCTGCAGGGTGAGGGAGGAGGGGAGAAGGAAATGACCCCTCTGCCCCCAAAACAGAAGTCACTGTGAGCCCTGTGTGCCCCACTGGGAGGGGCCTTCTGGCCACTGAGATGTTTCCTCTTGTGTTAGTACCAGCTGCTCCTGTATGTGGTACATTTCCTGTGTCCCAGGCCTTGGGCCAAGGGCTTCATTGGAATAATTTCATTCCAGAGTAGAGACCATTATCTGTCCCCATTTTACAGATGGGGAAACCAGCTCAGCGAGGAGACGTGCTTGCCCTGGGCTGCACGATCAGTGAATGGTGAACCAAGGCTGTCAGCCCTCTCTGTCTCCTGCATGCTGTTGACTGATGGTGGGCTTGGGTAGGTGGCCCCTGTCCTTAGGTGGCTCCTCTCGGTGGTCACACAACCAGAATCCCTGGGAACCTGGTGTTACTGCAGGAAGCACAGGCTGGCCTCATTAGTGGCTCTGAAATGCCAGGCAGGTGCAGCCCGCTGGGCCTCCTCATCTATTATGCATGTGGTGGGCAGGCCCCCATTGGGCAGCTGGCAGAGACAGGCCGGGAGCCAGCAGCTGCCCTGAGCCCACACCTGCCCCCACCGCTGGGCAGGGATCTGTGGAGACAAATGTCCAGGCAGCACCGGCCATCCCAGCATGGCCCGAGTGAGGGTCCCTTAGGCCCAGATCCTCAGCTTACCTGCCTGCCCAGCCAGCAGCCACTTGTGTGTGTGTGTGTGGCAGTTCTTTGGTTTGAACTCAGGGCCTCACAGTTGCCAGGCAGGTATACTACCACTTGAGCCACTCCACCAGCCCTTGTTTGTGTTTGGTATTTTGAGATAGGGTCTCGTAAACTATTTACCCGGGGCTGGAACCTCGATCCTCCTGATCTCTGTCTCCTGAGTAGCTAGCATTACAGACGTGAGCCACTGGTGCCCGGCTTCTAACAGCCACTTCTGAGAGGGCCTGGGACTTGGGCTGACCCGAGTCACTGGATGAGGGTAGGCAGAGGTGCACTGAGGTAGTAGTCTAGACGCACAGCTGTTTGCCACTCAGAGCCAGAGTGGCAGAGCTGTGGTCATTTATCCACGTTTATCCACAAGGGGGGGCTGCGCCCTTGCATCAGGTTGCTTGGTTTGGCCAGGACTTCACTTCTCTGGGCCTCCGTTTCCTCACCTGTAAAATGGAAAGCCAGGGAGACAAACAGTACCATGAAACGTGAGGGTCGCAGGTCCTTCCTGGGAGTTTGCTGCATGCCGGGCTTTGTACATATTGATAAAGTTAATTGTCACAGGGACCCATGAGCCAAGTCCCGTTGTTATTCCTGGGTTAGGGCAGAGAGGTGAAGTAACCAGTTCAAGGTCTCCTGGGAAAGCTGAGGTTTGAACCTAAGTAGCTGGCTCCAGCTTGCCTCTCACTCTGTGCTGTAAGGCTGGAGAAGGAGGAGTCATGAAAGGTTTTCAGAAAAGGTGGTATTTGAACCCAAACTTGAAGAATGAGAGGAGCCAGCCATGCAAAGAGCTGGTAGGGTAGAGGATAAGGGTTTGCAGACAAGGAGCTGCAGGTGCAAAGTCCCTGAGGCAGGAACAAGCTTAGTAGTCCTATAAGTAGTGAGGAGGCCAGAGTGGCTGAAGGGTTGAGAGAGAGTGAGGTCAGAGGTGGGTCTGGAGAGTGGATGGGGAGGAGCCCATTTGTGTGTGTGTGTGTGTGTGTGTGTGTGTGTGTGTGTTGCTGGGGCTTGAACTCAGGGTCTACATCTTGAGGCACTCCACCAGCCCTTTTTCATGAAGGGTTCTTTTGAGATAGGGTCTGGTGGAATTATTTGCCCAGGCTGGCTTCGAACCATGATCCTCCTGATCTCTGCCTCCTGAATAGCTAGGATT